TTCTATCTCTCTCTCTCCCTCTCTTTTCCTCTCTCTGAAGTCAATAAAGATATATCAAAAACAACAACAACAACAACAAAACACATACATTTATTTGTTTATAGTTTTGGAGGTCAGAAGTTCGAAATCAGTTTCTCTGGGCTACCTACCTTCTCTGTACTCTGCCCCTAAAAGTAGAGATTATGCATCTTAACAGAATAAATGTATACACTTTATTCTGACTCTATCATGACCCTGATTATTCTCTTTAAAATAAAATAAACAAAAGTTACATCGTTTTTGAATGTTTATTTACTGTATTGCCACTTTGAGTACATAATAACTTCCATAATCCTTTCTTAAGTGCTCAAATATCCTGGTAATTTTATTTTTGCCTTTTACAAACTGAATCCTAAATTTAAAAGGAAATAAAATGCTACAAAATATATTTTGTGCTTTAAAATCTTAGATTTCCCAGAAGGCCCTGGAAGTCACAAAGATTCTGTCGCATTAAAAGAGAGGTGGTAGAATTATTTGATTTATTTGATATACTGCTATTTATGAGTTTCCCCTAAAAAATTATCAAGAGAGGTAATCAGCCTTTCCTAGGTTAAATTTAAATAGGGAAATATTATTAACATAACTATTTTAGAAAATCATATCCTTCTTAAGATGTTCCTGGAGATTTCTCAGCTCACTCACACTCCATTACGTTGTTATTTACCAGAGTTCTGGTGGTACTTTCCCTGATGATATTAGACAACAACACTACCGTGTTATCAGGTAAAACACCAGTTGTTATTTTTATAATTTTTATTTTTGTTTAAAGTATTTTTAAATGTTTGATTGCAATCTTACTATTTTAGTTTGTACCTAACATCATCTAAGCCAGTACTTTCAAATTGAGGTTGAATATCAAACTTATTACTAGAGCACAGATGTTCAGGACCTACTTTAGACTTTTTCTAAAATAGCCCTTAATCATTAAGTTCATAGACGTTTTGTCCAAAACTCATTTATTTTAATTGGCTTTATTATCTTCTTTTGCATACTGCAGAACAAAAGTAATTTCACCTTCATTTGCATTATATTTGTTATGTCCTTACAGAAAAATTTTCACTCATGAAAATTATCAGCAATAAGTTAACCACAGTTATGGTAAGTGTCTGTCTCCTCCAGATTGTTTAACTCTGATGGTTCCCACAAGGTAATTCAGTCAGCTACAGGATAAAGATGTTTTCAACAAAGAAGGACTGTCTGAAAACCCCCAAGAAAAGGACAGGTACTTTAAAGTCCTTTGAAGAGGCTCGTGGGCAGAAGGTTCAGATGTCATCCCATAATCACCTTTAAGACCATATCAGTGGACAGAGTCAGAATTTCAAGAACAAGTTGAGAAGCAGAAGTATTCATGACACAGTTTAATATAATGTGCAGAGGAACAAGACCTGGGTTTGCAAAGTACAAACACCTATACTATGGAGTCAATCATTTTCTTCCAACCTATCAGGTTTTTCCAAATAAAACACAAGTGAAAGTTCTTGAGAATGAGTTGTAGAAAGTGCTTTCCTAGAGCCCGGCTGGGCGTGGCTCAGCGGTTAAGCATCGACCCAGGATCCAGGCGATCGGGGTTCGATTCCCGGTCAGGCCACATGCCCCTGCTGCGGGCTCGATCCGCAGTCAGGGGCGTGCAGGAAGCAGCCCATCAGTGACTCTCATCATTGATGTTTCTCTCTCTCTCTCCCTCTCCCTTCCTCTCTCTGAAATCAATAAAGATATATATATATTAAAGTGCTTTCCTAGAAATCCAAGAGACCTTAAGATCTGTATTAAAAACTTCAGCTTATTTTTCCCAGAGAACATGGAACACTTTCTATCTCACGGCCCATTTCTCAGGATATAGAAGAAACAGCCTTAACAACAAGAAAGAGAGCCCACTTTTTCTCTCCTCTGTGAACTTGGGAGAGTTGATTACCACCTCTGGGCCTCAGGGAACTCAGGTGTAAAATGGAGACCCCAGAAATAATCTCTATACCTTGTGTCCCACCCACTTCCAGTAGAGATCACTTCTTAGGTATATATATCATAGAATGGTAATTGTATACCTTGAACAGACTTTTGAAATAACTTCATTGTACCTCTTCATTTTATAGCCATAGAAGCTGATGTGCCCCAAGTAAACTACACTATGAGACACCAGAACCTGGTGAAACTCCACCTGCAATTGCTAGGGAGAGGCCTGTTGGCCAACTCAAATGAAGAGAAAAGTAAGAGTTGAACTTGCCTAAAGCGAAGAGGGCTTCAAGGCTCTCTATAACAAATCACCAAGGAGCTAGAGCAGTTCCCCAGACGGTCAGGGTTTACCAGGACCAGTATCATGAACTGAGGGGCCCATTATTCTGCCAGACAGTGGCTTGTCAAATAGAGGTAGAGGTTGCTGGCAGAGAGAAAAGCTGCTAAAGAGGCCCCTGCTGCCTGGGAAATTTCCTTGAACTGCCCCGCCCCTCACATGGCTATCACTGTATTACTAAAATAAAGAGTATGAAACCTGATCTCTGTATCTATGAGTCTGTTCTCTTTGTAAGTTTATTTTGTTCATTAGATTCCACATATAAGTGAAATCTTTTTCTGACTGGCTTATTTCACTTAGCATAATACTCTCCAGGTCCATCAGGGAGGTTAAGGGAGCTGGGTGAAAAAGGTGGAGGGATTAAGCAAAAAAAAACCACCCCTCATAGACAGTATGATTACCAGAGGGAAAGGTGGGGAGCAGGAAGGTAGGAGAGGGGAAAGGGGGGAATAAATGGTGATGGAAAGAAACTTCACTTAGAGTGGTGAACACAATACAATATACAGATGATGTATTATAGAATTGTACACCTGAAACCTATATAATTTTATTAACCCCAATAAATTCAATAAAATAGAAGAGCATGAAACCTGAAAAAAGTTGTGAGGTGAACATCTTGAGAATGATGTTTCTGTAAATACTTGGTTTAATAGGTACTGGGTGTCAAGAAAGGTTTCTTGGATTTATACAAGCACATATTCCAATGGACTCTAAGCACAACCCCAACACATTCTTAGGACACTCCTGTGAAGTAGCAAAGGCTAAACCAGCTCCAGCCCCTTTCAGAGATGGTGGAAGGAGGCAAGGAGAAGGTGTGTCACCAAGTAGAGGGGAGCTAAGAGGAAACCAGGGTGAGGACTGCCTGGGTCCCAGATGTACCTCTGCCTCTCCCTCTGTGTGGCACCCTTCTGTCTCACCACAAAGCTCAGCAGGCCATGGTTTTCAGAGCCAAGGGCCCAAGCCTCCAGCCATCACTGAGAGCCAGGCTCAGGGACCCCTTGGGGAGCATCAGGCCTACAGGGAAGGAGACATATACAGCTATTATAAGGGCTTACTCTGTGCCGGGCACTGTGTTTTACAGTAGTCACTGACACAGGCTGACTTAATCTTTGGGGAAAACCCAAACATGGAGGAGCTCTTATTATCCCCACTGTACGCTTCAGGGAACTGCTGCTCAGGGGGAACGGACGAATGTCAGGGTCCCATGGCCAGAAAGTGGTGACC